CCCAGCAGAGCGCCGAGCGCGGCCCCGCCCGCCCCCCAGGCAGCCCCAACAGAGCGCCGAGCGCGGCCCCGCCCGCGCAGGAAGGAGCAGCCAGGCCGGTAAAGGACAAAATCAGACTTTGTTTATTAAAAAAATACTTTACAGGAAAAAAATTCTATGCATTCCGTTGTACTATTTTACAAAGAAGTAGCTGAACAGTTTGACAGCGGCGCACAGCCCCCCGGGCCCCCGGGCCGCGGCGATAAACGCGCTAAGGCCGCGCAAAGCAACAGTCTTCCAGGCAATTGTGCACGTCCTCTGCAGGCAGAGACCTCAGATAAATTAAAACCACAGAAAAAAAATCGTAGCTGCCAATCCAAGTCAAATCAAATCACAAGAACAGCAGCACAGGAACCTCCACACGCTGCACAGGGAGGCGGGAGCCGCGCACGGCCCGGCCCGCAGGGGGCGCTGCTCTGGGAGCGGGAACAGCCCCCGGCACTGGGACCACCTCGGAACCGGCTGCCCCAGGGCAGGGGCCCACAGCCCTGGGGAACCTCCTGGTCCAGGGGGGCTGAACCATGACATGCAAAACACTGACAGAGCCCTTTTCCCATATGGCAAGATCTACAGCTATGAAAAATGTGGATTATAAATCCCCTGAGAACACTCCACTGAGTGTCCCACCTTCCTGGAAGAGAACGTGTCAAGTATCTGCACAGAGACTTGTCCAACGGAGAGAGGGGACCAAAGCTAACTGGTATTTCACCTTTAGATTGCATTGTGCTAGTCCACCTCTAGCACAGCTGAGCCACTTGCCTTTACCCAAATTACACTTTTAATCAACAGCACTTCATTTAGAACAGAAGCCTGTTCTGTCTCTCAAAGCTGGTGCCTGAGCACTTGGCCAAGAGCACTTCTCTCCAGCACAAAGCAGGAGCTCCTGGTTACCAGCTGTCAGATGTGTCACAGGGCAGATCCTCAGAACAGAGCTGAGGATTCACAGTCACTGACCAGTGCATCCACGTTTATTAACTGTTCTTTATCTATCTGGCTACTGAGAAGTATTGGAGCAACCCATGAAATGTGCCACTCTGATTATCTCATTACATGGGCTGTTTCATGAAATCTTAGAAAAAGCCAACAGCCAGCTATTTAACATGAGAGTCAGAAATATTTACTTGCACCTACCCAGAGATTTGTTTTTCTCAGCAAACACTGACTAGCTTGAACTTGTTAGTCCATTTCTGAACAGCTATAGCTTATAAAAATTGTTATACTACATGTATTGTTCTGAAAAACATTTGCAACTTTCACATCAAGGCATTTTTCCAGTTCTGTGCAATGAAACTGAGCTTGAAGCAATGGCCAGACAAGTTCAGGCATCAGCTTCGTAACAATCACTCATTCTTTACATCAGAATTGAGGTGGAGTCTGAAAGCAGTACATCTTTTTGGTTAAAATGTACCAAAGCTGATCATGTATTTAGGTAACAGATTTTTATAGTTTGCTCCCCTCTTCCTCCATCTTCCAAGCATGTTAGAGCAGTGTCAGCAACATTCAAGTCATGTGAAGATACATTTCTGTATTTAAATGTGACAGTGGGTACTCAGTAAACACACGGGACATAAAGAGAGCAGGACACTCCTGGTCATGTCCCTCCATCTCAAGGGCTAAATCACAGCATCTTCCTGCTATCTCAGGCTGCAGTCAGAGATTCCACTAAAGCTACAGTTTGGAAAGCAACAGGAGCCTTTCTGGTCTTTTTCCTTTATCCACCTGAAAACATACTATTAGAATTTAGAGAGGACTTCCAAATTTATTCCCTCATCCTCTGTTTTACCTTTCACAAAAAACAGACAAGGTGGTGTGTGGGGGCTCCCAATCTGTTCATTCTGCCTCCACAGTTCCATGTGCAGACTCACTGTAGTATCTGCAGGTTTGTCAGTTCCTGAGTGATTGCAGTGCTGGCTGCCAAGGACCAGCCCCTCATCGAGGTACCTCTAGGGACAGGACAAGAGACAGCAGGTGTGAGGGGTGGGATGGGCACTGGAAGACTAGTGGACTCCAGAAAAAGGAAAGAACACCCTTGGGCAACACGATATTTGAACATGAGGGATTAACTGAAACCACTATTGCCTGTGAGGAATTTTACTTTGCACAACCCTTAAAGCTATGAAATTCCTCTCAACTTAAAAAGTGGAAATAACCCACCAGAGAACAGACAGCTCAGCTATGAACCAGCCTGGGTCATCTAGAATTTCTGCTAAGATTAAATTACACCCCTGCATGAATCACATTACTTTTCATCATAAAAGCTTTCCATTCTAACACCTTATTTACACAGATTACTAAACAAGTCACTACCACTTCAATCTGTAAATTAGTTTTAAATTGAAATATTTCCTAGTCCTCAATTTGTACCGAAGACAACACATACATACACATAAGGAGTAATACAGGCTCTAACTAATCACTGCAGTATCTTCTGATGATTATTTTTCTATCTGTTTAAAATAGTGACCTCTACACTGAGGTGCTAATATGTATATAAAAGCCTACACAAACAATATTGCACAAAGTAAGATTTATAATAGAGTAACATATTTTAGAGACCCTTATAAAGAGAATAGTAATAATTGATATTAAAAAGATGCATCCAGAACTAACACAGCATCTTTGCTTTTGTCTAGTCTAACATAGTGTTTCAAATCTTTCCTACCCCAGCGAGGATTAGAACAAATAACTTTATCTGGAGACACCTTAAGTTGCACCAAAACCCAAATTGTACTCTAAATGTGGGGAGGGGGAAGGGAGAAAGGGACTTTTCCTTCCGATGACTGGAAAGGGCAATAATAAACAGGATGAGTGAAAGTCAAATACAGATTACACGTCAACATCCAGAAATATTGAAAGATTATTTAAAAAATTGTTGATAGCTGACACTCTACACACTGAGCATGTGCCACTGATTTTTCCACAGTACCTGGGCACCCAGAAGCTACACATGGAAACAGCAGTCCAATGCCATAATACTTTTTATTGTGAAATAGTAATACAGAACTTCCTAGAGTAAGGACAGCCTCTCTGTGTCAGTTACCAACTCTGCTATATATTAAGTGCATCAGTACAAGGGAAGTGTGGTTCCATCGGACATGTTATGACCTGATCAGAACAAGCTGCCAAGTTGGTTAGTATTTTAAAGCCTTAAAGTGCTCAAAGATAGCAGTTTCCTCCACAAGACTACCAATAGGTTCTCTAATTTTGACACTAGTATTAATCATGTTCAGAGAAGATGTATTTCAGAAGCAAAACCCTCACACCAAACAACATAAGCAGTGCTTTGAGAAGTGTTAGGTCAGTAAGTCATTGCATTTCAACAGGATCAGACACTTTCTTCAGTTAATTTTACAGATCACTTTTGTAGGAACTGTAAGAAACAGATCAATTTCTATAGCTTGTATATAAACCCAGCTCATATATAAACCAACATGTCAAAAACAGACATACCAAAAATTTCACAAAACATCAAAAGTGCTGTGCTTTCTCTTTTTTTTTTTAAGCAATTAAAATGAGATGGGAAAGTCACTTTGCAAGTCTAGAAAAGCATCACTTTCTGGTGAAGATCAAAGATAAAGTAAAAGCAGGGATATAACACTGACCAATATAGTTTAATCATTTTATGTTCCTGGAGGAATTTAATTCTGACTTTGAGGAGATATTCAATATCTCTTTACTTAAACAGAAAGAAGTGGTAGACCACTGTTACAGGTTGTACTAAGGGGTTAAAATACAACTTGAATTTTGCATAATCTGTGTAAAAAAGATATGCTTGACATTTTGGAATGTCACCTTTCTTTATAGAATTATAGGCAAGATTTCTCCAATAAAACATAAGCCAGTTATAAAACTATAACTTCACATCAAAATTTTAAAAAGCTGTTAAAAAAATGTTTGATTATATACACATCACACAGAAGAGTCTGCATGATCCTGTGGATTGTGTTGCTGATCAGACTCTATTTTAAAACCTGGAAGGGGCCGGGCCACCTGCTCTGGTTGCACAAGTCCTGATACTGAAGAAACAGAGGAGAGCACCCCTGGGGTGAGCTGCAAAACTCTTCCGACTCTATCTTTACACTCACACACTGGGGTTCCCCTTCAGGCTCTGTCTTTCCAGGAACACTACTGTTCAAGCTTGAATTGCTTTCTGCATTTTGAGAAGTCTCCCCCACAGGGTGATACTGTTTAAGTCTTATGTGCCAGGCTAAGCTGCAGACTGCTGACACTGTTTTGAACTGATGAATGACATTTCTAGGGATGAAGTAGATGTCATTGTCACACAACTGAATTCTAGCATAGCGAATGCCTTCCCGTCTCATTTGGTTTAGTTTGGCTTCATCCACCCATTGAACACACTGGGAGAAGGAAAGATGGTAAAGTTAGTGGTGTACTCGGGTTAAACAATTCAGCATCCACCTGCTTTCAATGTCTCAGTCAAAACAGTTCCATTTAACAGGTAAAACTTAAAATTTAAAAAAGAGAATTTTTTTTTTAATGAACAGCTAAGAGCATTCTACAGTTACAGCTGAAACAGCAGGCTCAGCACGAGGCTGCATTGCTTTGGCTGACAGGACTGAGTTCAGCTGCCTTTGCAACCTGAGACAACATCAGTGTATTAGAAAAAGCAGAATCAGGCACATGTGACTTCTTAATCCACTTCTAATGGTTTCTATAGCACATATCATGACCCACAGCATAAATTCCAGGTTGGTGGTAAGGGAAAGCAGATGGACTAGATGACCATGGTAGGTCCCTTCCAACTGAACTATTCTATTCTGAAATAGCCCAAGAGAGCTCTGAACTGAGGGCCACCAAGATACAGAAGGGCTGGCCATGCCATGAGCCTGGAATCTGCCAGAAAGTACTTCCAAAATGCTGAGGAAGGAGCTGTTACTAGGGGAGATTTGATACCTGTGACACTGGAGGTTCATGCAGGTCCAGCTGAAGTCTCTGCACAACGTCAGTGAAATCCTCAGCATGAAAACAAACCACATCTTTGGTTATACGAGGCTGGTCACTCCTACAAAAAGATGAGAATTCCAGGAATTTTTAAAGTATTTGACTTATAGAAAATTACAGCTCTTTCCCATATAAAGTTTCATTGAACCAATGACCTACTTCAATTTTACACTGGGCACAAAGTCTCCTCACTTTTCAATGCATGTATTATTTTGAAAAGGGGGTCTAATTTTTTTTTTTACTTGTTTCTTGATATATGCACAACAGAAGCTGTGCCCATTACAGGGCTTAAACTATTTATTCTATTAGGCTTGTTTGCCAAGGAATTTTCTTTTTTAAGAGAGAAAATGCTCAGATTGCCCCTCCTAGCAGGAGTGTTGAGTGGCACTCACCATTCCCCAAACTGAACAGCCTTCAGGACACCCACAGCTGCCGTGCTCTGCCAGTCGAAGCCCTGGCCCACGTGGTCAGCGTGAGCTCTGGTCCTGTCCTCAAACAGGACCTCACGGGGTTCACTGGTCCGAGGTAGGTACTGGAGATTCTTTATTTCATTCATTGACCTATAACATGATAAAAAATGTTTCAGACTGCTAAAAACATAAGTATTTTTATTAAAAGGAACCTTCAGGTGCTGCAGGCTTCACAAACAAAGACCAAAGCACCTTCCTCTGGTTTCTTACAGGCGTTTTTTTGATGAAAGATTGAAACAAATGCAGCAAAGCACAATTCAGGTAATGAGATCAGTCTTTATAAAACAAATCCAATTCACTTGCACTGAAAGAATTCTTCCAGGAACTTAACGGTACGTGAAACAGAGCTGCTTTAATAGATACTGAAGTTGAGTCATATCAGAGTATGTCCAAAAATTCTGTTTGAAATTACAATTAAAAATATGCTTCCAATTCTTTATCTCCCAAAATCCATTCTGCAGCACAGTCTTTATGGGAAAGATAGCAAGTACAGATGTACACCACGATGTCTCCTGAGAAGGTAGGCAGTGTTACAAGTGCTTTAGCACTAACATTAACATGCAACATGAACAGAGTTAGAATCTCTCCTGGTTAAGATCATTTCACCTGCCTCCACCACCAAATGAGTCCTTTTCACAAAAATAAGATTAATAAAAACAAGTCTCTTGAAGGATAAGAAAGCATTGATCTAGGACATACTACTGTGAAAACTTGTCTTACACACTGAGCCAATTTGAAACAAAAATGAAACTTAAATCTGTGAATTAGCCTTCTAAAGAACTAGTTGCACATCAGGTATCTAGGTTTTGTTCTCAGATCTAACACAGACACAGCTGCAATGTTTTACCTTCAAGAGGGAAAGGAAAACAAAACATTACCGGCGCCGTTTGAAGGGCGATTTTGGCATATCAGCCGTGGGGATCATCTGCTCTCCTGGTCTCACCCACATGATGGGACCATCATCACTTTGTGACCTGCACTGAAGTCTGAGCTTGGAAAGAG